AGCAGGAGAAGCAGCCATGCTGCTGGCAGTGCCAAGCTGCAGCACACAATGGAGTGAGGAAGAGGAAAGCTGACAGCCCTCTGAGCCCCACTAGGGCTGAGGAGGGTGGAGAAGAACCGGAACAAATGGGCTGAAGGAGCCTGGGGCTAGCAAACAAGCAGACCTTGGTGACAGGCCATGAGGTTGGGCTGGGGGTACTAGGGCAGCTGCTTCCCTTGTGTGCCCATCCAAGATAAAACTCCTTGGCAAGGAAGACAGCTCAGGAAATGCAGAAGGAGAAAAAGGTCTGACCTATCCAGACCTCTCATCCTGCAGCAAACTGGCCTGCAAGTGATGCCTGCCCAGAGCAACCCCAGCCTGGCCCAGCTTTGAGGAAGCAGCACCACAGGACCCTCACTCTCTGTCCCCAGCCAGGACGTGCCACACTGAGAGTGGCAAAGGGATGTTTGTGCAAATCATTGTGCCCTGTTCCTGAGGAGGGCAGCCAGGAGCACGGGAGCTGAAACACTTGTGCAGTATCAGGAGGCCAAAGACACGGTAGCCCCAGTGAAGTGTTAGAAGATTTGCCAAGGAAAACATGACAAAGGATGGGGGTGGGAGTGGGGAGTGAAGAACAGCAAAGAGGAAATTGCATTTAATCCCCACATAGAGTCTGTTCAAAAGCTCTGCACACAGGAGAGAACCTTCAAACCAAGGGGAAAGGGGGTTAGGATAAAATAAAAACCCCTCTGAGCTGCTCAGCACAGGGACCTTATTCAAACAAAGAGATGTTTTTTATAGGCTTTTCCATGTGGACAAGAAGGTGTATTCATGGCTCTGGTACAGGGCACCCTTCCCCCCCAACCATTAGAGGAGTTCAGTCCCACAGAGCTGAGGCTTGGGAACTGTGGCAGGACCTTGTCTGAGGGTATTTTTATATTTGGGACTTTCCTAAGACTCTTCTTGTTTCAAACTCAAAGCTGCCTGTATCTCTGGGTCTCGAGGGCTCCCTTCCCCACTCAGATTTTGGATCTGTGAAAGAGTTGAGCTTAATTCCCAAGGCCCTTCACAGCTCCTGAGGCACGAGTTCCCAGGGATGGTGCTTCTCCCCAGCACCAACAGCCTCCCCCTCCAGGATGGGCCTCAGGAATTTGTAAACCAAGGTCTTGAAGTCAACCTAATTTTATTATTTAACTTTTATCTTTTCTTGAGTATGCTGTCTGCTTTGGCTGCTGGAGGGTGAATCTGCAATGCTGCCCACTCCTGCAGGGACAGAAGTTGCTTTTATCTACCCGGTCTGACAGAGAAACTGCACTAATGGCTTTTCTCACCTTCATGCCAGGTTCACCTGCAAGGCCAGGTTGTCCCACCGAGCCAGGCGGTCCCTGGAACAACAACAACAACAACAACAACAACAACAACAACAAAAAAGAGATGATGAAAAAACCCATTGTAACCAAGTAGAAAGCAAGATCAAAGGCATAATTCCTTTAGCAGAGCCCTCCTGGGACAGCAGAGCCCTGGTTGCAAGGCAGTTACCTCCCTGGAGCTGGCTCAGGGTACACAGCATCAAAGGGGCCCTGAGCCCCTCGTGCCTGGCTCCTGGGGGGCTCAGCTCCCCTCTGCCAGCCCTGCAGCAGCTCCTCTGCCAAGCACCTCTAACTCCTTCCAACCCCTCTGCTTTCCAAGGTTAGTAACCACACTGGGCAGCAGCGCTGGGACTAGTTGGGGAAGAAGGGAAAAGCTCCAGAATTAGACTGGAAAGCTCTTTGTGAGGGTCCAGCAGGTTGGTGGGTCACAGCAACGCTCAGCTGGGCTCCTGCTCCCAGCACCCACACCTCCCCATTGCTGCTGGTGCCAGCACAGCCTCCTGTGGGTCAGGGGGAAGAGCTGAGGCAGCCCCAGGGTTTGCCCTGCAGGGTCTTGCTCTGCCTTTGCAGGAGCAGCTTTCCCAACCACCTGGGGCTGAGCTGAGCCCTCGGCCCCACGATCCCAGAGAGGCAGGGACATCACAGGTCTGCCAGCTCCAGGACACCTAAAGGGGACCCAGAGCAGCATGGTTACACCAATCCCTCCAGCACAAACCTTGGCCAGATTAGCCTGACATCCATCTTTCACTTTCTCTGGCTGTAATGTCCCAAAAACCATCCTAATGCCAACGAGTGGGCTCGGAGCAGAAACCCACAGCCCAGGGCTGTTGCCAGAATGTACTGACTGAAAAAATGTGGCTGGGAGATGAGGTGACATGGCCCTGAGCACAGACTCTAGTAGAGGGGCTTGGCATCCCTCAGAGAGCCAAAACTGAGTGTCTGACCTGGAAAACCATGGGAAGAGAGCGAGAGGGAAGGTGAGAGAATGACCTTGGAAGCTGCTGCTGGGTGTCCAGCTGCCACACACAGCCTGGCAACTGAGGGGCACCTTCATTAGGCACATTTAGCACCAAGATCAATCAGGAGCTTTAATCTCTGCACATTTGCTAGCACCTCTGGGCAGCACAGGACATGGGAATCTGTAAAACAAGCCCAAAGATGGGACAGCAAAACTTGTCTTTAAAGGATTTGAGTGGCTTATTAAATGATGACATCTGCTTTTGGGACAACAACCTCCCTTCTCTTTGCAGTCAGGAATAAAGGAAAAAAGAGCACATAGTCAAGGGAGCACTGGGCTGCCCAGGGAATAAAGCCAGTTCCTGGCTTGCTGCAGAGGATTGAAGCAGAGGAGGGAGCAGGGTGCATGTTGGGTTTCTGAACAAATGGTCAAGTCATGCAATGAGAAAACCCAAGCTCCAATGAAAGCAAAAATCCTAATTTGGTTTCTCTGGAGGTGCCAGTGCAGAAAAAGGCTCCTGGAAGAGTCACAGATTTGAATAAAGCTCTGTGCTTTCTTGTCTGGCAACGTCCAGAGTGGCTGGGTAGCAGCTTTCCAGCTCCACAGTGTGGTTTACCACGCTCAGAGCTCACTCCATCCAGTCTAGAGGCCATGAGAATGGAAACTTTCATGACTCACACACTCTGCAGTGACTGCACTAAAAGCCACCTCCGCTACTGTTTTCACAACCAAGTGAAACATCATGTTTCTATTACAGCTCAGGACCTATGGAAAGGAGCTGCCCAAGGGGGAGCTGGCACATCTGTTATAAACAGCCAAGACTGTAATACTTCAAGGGGAGTGAATTCAAGCCAAGACTTGCAGACAAGTTAGGGGGAAACCGTGGAGGCATCTCCTGCACTCCATCAGGGCACGGCTTGGCAGCTGCTGCTGCTTTGGTTATGGTGTGTTTGTGCCATTGCTTCATGGCAACAGCAACCCCAAAGCAGAGTCAGCAGCAAAGTCATTTCCCTGGGCTTCCTCCACTGGTCTGTGCTGGGGCTGCCACAGCATCCAGGTGGGCTGACAACCCTGCATCTTCTCAGCAACAGCGAGGGAGAAAGACAAGACCTGTGTTGAGTTGGAGTTGTTCCTGTGTTTGGTCCCTGACTCTGCATCCTGGTGCAGAGAGGGTGGTCCCTGGTGTGGTGGCAGAGCCTGGGACCTGCTTTGTGTGGTCAGCTTTGAAGTGCTTGTCTTGTTGAAGGTGGGTCTGCACATCTGCCAACGGGGTGTCTAAGGGCTGTGAGGAAAGTGATCCTTGAATTTCTGATTTTCACTCTTTGCTTTGGAAATTGATTTTCAGACTTGAGGAAAATGCTTGTGTCCTGCTTGTGTCCCCAGGTGTGGAAGGATGTGCCTCTGCTCCCTAAGCCCTGCTTCTCCCAATGCAAAGGCAAAACATATAGGAGCAAAGATCAGACTTACCTTATGCCCAATTTCTCCCAAAGGCCCAGGTGGCCCCTGTGGTCCTTGTGGACCCTGAAAAAGAGACACAAGGCTCTTTTCATACAACTGCTCATTTCTGAAGGGCCATAACTCCCATGGCCTGTAAGATAAACGAGCAGTTCCCTCCCACATCAGAGTGGAGCTGTGGACCATGCAAGAGATGGCCAGTGAGATGGAGAGGCCAGCACTGGGTGTGCTGGGGAACCTCAACAGGCAAAGAACAGCTCAGAAGACCCTTCATCTTTCTGGCTCCCACCTAAAACAACTGCAGTAGGCAACTTAAAAATGCCTGGTTTACCCTCTTCTCCCTTCACAGTCCAGGTCAGTCCTGACAGACACAGAGAGAGGGAGATGACCTTTCCTCCTGCTTCTGTGGTCCAGTTTGCCCTTCTCAAGGTCTTTGTCTTCACTTGTCATCTCCCAGTGCCTCCTCCAAAGCTGTGGGCTCAGTCCTAACATAATCAATGCCCCTCCTGGTCCCCTTTGGCTCTACCTACCAACCCAGCCCAACTCTTTCTGTTACATCTCACTCTGTCCCACACCACATCTTGCCCTCCTTTTCTCCCTCCCCTTCCAACACCCAGCCCAGGCTGTATCCTCCACTCTCCCTGGTTGATCCATGTTCCCCTTTTGCTTTCCAGGGGTCTGACCTTTTCTTTCCTCCTGCCTCCTAGGACTCTAGCCAAGTCTTTCACATCTCTGACCACGTTGGAGTTGGCAAAGATGGAGAAGCCAGGAAAAGGAATGAGTGGTGGGGACAGACAGAAAAAGAAATGAAGTGTCTGTGTGTGTGCAAGGACAGACAGATGAAGAGAGTGACAAGACACTTGCCGGGTCGCCTGGAGCCCCTTTTGCCCCGGGAGGTCCAGAAGGTCCTTGGATACCCTAGAAAAATGAAACACACCAAGGTCAGCTCCAACCCCACAGTGACCTGTCCTGCCTCTTGGTCACATGCATCTCAAGCACCTCAGGAAAAGGAGTGGAGAGGTGGTCCCATAAGTGTGAGACACTGTCCAAGCTTTTCCTTCTGGACCAGGACCCAACACTTACAGACTCGAGTGCACCCCAGGTTATGAAAGGAAGCCCAGGAGATGGACACTTACTGGGAAGCCACGTGCTCCTGTCTCCCCAGTCTCCCCCATCTTCCCCTGTGGACACACAGTTACAGCCATTAGCAGCTGGGAACATGAGACACCTGCAGTGCTTTGGCCAGGAGAAGCTGCAGTTCCCTGGGCAGGGTGGGTCCCCTCGTGGGGAGCTGCCACCCTGCCAGGTTTGGCAGGCACTGGCTGTCACAGGGGACATACCTGCAGCCCATCTGGCCCCAGCTTGCCTGGGCCCCCTGGTCGGCCCTGCAAGGCAAAAAACACAAAGACACATTGGCATGAGCACAAACTGTTGGGGATGCTCTTCTACCCTGGCCCACCTGCTCTTTTTTGTACATCAAATAACCCCTCTAGTTCCTTGCAGCATTTTGAAGGCCAAATGTCCACCGTTCCTGCCCTGAGGAACACTGATCAGCAGGGAGTGGGCAACGGGCTGCATGAGCTCAGGTTTGTTGAGCAAGGACCTGCTTTGGAGGATGGAGTCTGTGACATTCAGTGGTGGGACAAGGGTCCAGCTCTGCCACACTGTGCTCACACCTGGCTGCTGCCAAAGGGAGAAACTCTCCCACGTACCCTCTCCCAGCCTGTTGTGGAGCAGGTGCTGCTGGGGCAGGGGAACTGCCCGCCTCTCTTTTCACCTCCTATCT